GAGCCGAAATTGGGGGCTTATGACGTACTCGACTATGCCCCCGAGCGTAATAAATATCACACTGTACCCTACTTAGCCTTAGCGTCTTAGCACCACCACAATAAAAGTAAAATTTCCTTGGGTAAAAGAAAAACACACAAAATAAACTTAATAAAATTAATTTTTGCCCCGGAACAAACGGAGAGCATCCCATACTGTCAGCGGGGTAGTTATTTCCTTAATCTACGAAACCACGCCTATTCTGCCGGGAACGCCATATTTTTCTTGGCACTCCTCCCTAATAAAAGTGTTTTGCTTCCTCCTTGAGCTTAGTTTTAGCGTTATTTTCCAAATATATTTTTTATCTTATTCGAGATAATTTGGTCTACATATATTCTTCAAAAATAAGGCTTAAAAAATCCACTTTGGCTCTGGCACTCTGAGATGGGACACGAACCCATGACCTTGCGCAAGTGGATTTTTTAAGTATTTTTCATTAAGAATATTTTTCAGTATAGCATTATGAATGCAAAATTGATCAAATATAATAATCGGTCTATATATATTCAAACTCATACATTAGGTGACGGTTATTGACCTTGGTTACTCTATCAACTTTCTTAATACTCTTTTTCACAAACAAACGACGTAAGTTAAGACATATTTTTTCATAAGTTTACATGTAAAACCCTAGGGTTAGGATCCACACGGTATCAAAATAAAAAAAACTACATTTATAACAAAGCATATACATACTTTATGATCAAAAGTATGTAATTAAACTTAAAATAATTATAAATGTACTCCTGAAATTGCTAGTTATTTTGGGTATTTCAATAATAATAATAAAACTTTAATAATCAAAATATGCAATGAGAAATAATAAATTAAACTTTTGGCTTAAAGAAACAATCAGTTCTCGATTGCTTCGCTTCTTCCTTCTTGCTATCATACTTGGTATTGATAACACTGATAGGCTGCACAAAGTTTGACGTAAATTGATACGATGTAAATTAAAACGACGTAAGTCGAAGACTGCCTGTACATGCTTTGTCAATTCCTTATATTATTTTTTGTTACTTTAAAACGCATCAATTCTTATATTCAATAAATAACAATGTCAACAGTATTTCATCACTTACAATTATACCTATTATGTTAATCGCCAAAGGCAGTACTCACCTTTTTTTAAATAACTGAGTGTATAAGCTAACCAACTGATCTTATCCTTCAACAGCTGGACTGGCTCCTCATGGATGGGACGACGGTGACATCAGTGGCGGGCCTGCGTCGTGTGCTAAACAATGGGTCGCTTGAGTTACCACCATTCCCAAGCGAGAGGTATCGGAGGGACGTCCACTCCACCACATATCGCTGTAGAATAACCCTGAGCAGCGGATTCACGGTGCTCTCAAAAAACATTCACGTCCACGCTGGTAAATTAATTTAATGTTACTCATTATCAGCCATTGTAGAGATTCAAATTAAAACCTTATGTTATATCATCAGCCCTGTTACGTCACCACTTCAGGGCTCAGGCCTTCCTTATAGATGGTTAAGGAGGATGGGCCATAACACTTGACGATGGCCAAATGCGGATTGGAGGATATTAATGATTACAAATGCAGTCGGTACCAACGGCTTAACGTGCCTTCCGAAGCATAGGGTAGCTTGAGATAATTATGATCACCTTTGCGAAAGTAGCTTAAGAACAAAATTCGCGGGCCGCGGCATTTGTCCTCTACACACCTCTCCGATTTAAACGAAATTATGGTTTGTTTAAAAATTCCAAAGTTCCAAAATTTTCAAAAAAAATCTTACTTACTTTAATTGTACCAATGACTGGTCTATTTCTAAAATCTAATATTTCATTCGAATTTTCCATCGCAAAACAATTTCGACGAAATAAGAATGCTTTCACTTTATAAAATATTTTAACAACGCCTCTTATATAAATTAGAGATAAACTTGAGTTCAGTGGACAGCTGGTGAATGCAATTTAAAAACAACGATGTCAAAGAGTTTCGGGTAAATTTCAAGTAGGTACATGTCCTATATAAATAAAACAGACAAAATATAAGCCATAATAGAAAATATAAGAAATATAATTTGAACCGGTTATTATCTATTTGAAATGTGTTGTTTACCAGTGCCACTATTCAAGACATCTACATAAAGCTTCCTTTTGCAAGCAATTTAAAAAATAATAATAATGTTGTGATTTAAAGTATAAAATAGTTAATGTAAATATGTTGCCGACGACGTTTTAATAAAACCTTTTTTGTACTCATATTTTCGATAAAATATTATTATTAGAAAATTATAGTAATAAAACTATAAACAAAATACCGGTCAAGTGCGAGACGGACGTGCACACGAAGGAATCCGTCCTATTGTCAATGAAAATGGCATAATTCGCCTTTATTATACCTATAGGAGCCACTTTTAATTTTTTTTATGTATTATTTGTTGTTATTTAGGCAACATAAATATAGGTCCGTATCCGTAAAAAATATTTATTTACTCCCAATTTCTCATTTTCTCTTTGGGTATGAACCCTAAACAATACTTTATCTTTATATTTTATATTCAAACTTTGAAAAGATAGGATGAGAAAATAAAATTTTACATAAAATTTGTTATTTATCTGTTATAGTAAATAAACTTTACTTAACCTAAATATATTTATTTTTAATGTGGAAAATGTAATTATCTGTATTACAGTTCACAAAGGACTGTTATAGCTTTGTGCTTTAGTACAAATGATACCATTCACATACCTCATCATCACATAGTTGTTTCATTACCTTAATTAATATAAATTCGAATAAAAGAAAATAATCTATGTTATATATAAAAACAACTAGCTTTTGCCCGCGACTTTGTCAGCGTGGTAAAGTAACTTTGAGCAGCATTTCTAACGAATATTTATTCATGATATCGTGTGATATATATGAATACCTGAAATAAAGTTTCATTTATCAAAATCCTGTCTTGGGATCCCCAAAGACAGGATTAGGCATCCGCCTATGTAGCTTTATGCATGCAAAGTCTGAGCCAAAAATTGACAAAGTCTCATACAAACTTTCATCCTCTATTTTATCCCCTTGGGAATAGAATTGATGAAAATCCTTTCTTAGCAGATGCCTACGTCATAACATCTACCTGCATGCCAAATTTCAGCCCGATCCGTTCAATGTTTTGGGCTGTGCGTTGATAGATCACTATGTCAGTCAGTCACCTTTGAGTTAATATATTTAGATAAAAACCGGCCAAGAACAATTCGGACTCGCGCACAAAAAGTTTCGTACCAAAAAACCATAAAAAACACGTTTTTTTATTTTCTATGGAGTTGTTTGAACGTCGTAGAAGAACCATGAGGGAGGTCTATGCCCAGTTGTAGTCGTCTTATGGTTAATGCGATGATGTTAAAAAAATTAACGTAATATAATAATTGTACTGATTCAGAGATCACAATTTTGAAAGTGAACTGACACATGTAGTTAGATGTCACTTTTGCGCCTAATTTAAATGGTTTTGATGAATATTGATTATTTTATTTACTTAAAAAGTTTAAATAAGAATATGATGGGTCACAGAACAAAACAAAAAAATAAAGGGAGATAGCCTGAAGTACAGATCACCAGGACCCACCCCATGGGGAATATGACTATTTTCACATTAAATGACTACGAGGAAAATATTGGAAAACAAAATAAAATTAAAAGTGAAACAATTAAGTAGAAAATTTGTGTTTGATTATGTATGTTGAATGTTTATGTAAGTGTACAAGTGTGATAGTAAGAAAGTTTTCGTGTGAATGTGTTTTGGTGATGTGTGTTTTTATATAAAAATATATATTATAGATAGTGATACATATATGTGTTGTTAGTAAATTCTCTGTTTCGTTATAATTAAGTTTCTGTGAAATGTATTTACTTAATAATTAATCCAAAAAAGATTAAAAATATTAAAGATTCGGGTCTCGAGTTGCTACTTTCTTTCTAATATTGAAATTAATGAGCTCCCATGTTTGAATACATTTTGCAACTGATTAGTTATAACCCTCAGGGTTTTAATCTGACGACTTACCTCCGTTATAAATTGTATATTTATTTTGCAATCTTATTTTAATCTTATTTAATCTTATTCAATCTTATTCATCTTATTTAATCTTATTTAAAACACAAATTATAATACGATTCGTAATTTAATGATGAAACAAGAAACAATAATACTTCAGATGAGATATATTTCGAATGAATTTAATTTAGTCCTCTCAAAGCACCTCTCCAAGATCTTGTAAATTGAGTTGATCCTTTCCTGTTCATATAAACTGAAGGTAAAGAGTAAAGCAAAATCTTTGAACAATTAGGTCAAGACGAACCAATTAATTAATTTCAATAATAAAGACCTTGAAAATATATAGTTTTAAATAAATAAATACGAGTGCTTAAAGAAAATATGAACGAAAACTGAATATAATATAACCAAGTAGGTATATTGTGAAAAGTATGAATACTACAACAGTTCAGGCAAGAACGAATCCGACTAAAGGACTTCCCGACTCCATCGAAATTTTAAATTAAACAAAACATATAAATTTTACTGTAATCTATAATTAAAGACTTATTTATTAGCATACTTTCGGATTTTCCCTTTCTTTTTACCACATGACCTTTTCACTTCCAGGCAGCCATATTTCTTCCCTACTCTAGTATAATAACCCTATGCTTTAAGCTCGTTTCGATTACAGTTCAATTAGGTACTTGGTAAACCCGTGGGTTGTTATTCTTTTTACGGTTCCGCAGTCCGTCTATCCGCCGAGTTGAAATTTTCGCAAATAATTATTTACGTTGTCGCTTTATCAACTAATACTAAAAATCAGAATAAAATAAATATTTAAGAGGGCTTCTTTTATACGCGAGTCCGAATGGCACTTAGTCGGTTTTTTATATATTTTCTTAATTTTTGCAGCACTGAATTCAGCGTGGGAAGTGCACGTGCCAGATGAGTACGTGATGGCGGGTAACGCAGCTGTGTTGCGGTGTGTAGTGCCCGCTCACTGTGTAGAAAGAATCGACAGCACTGACTGGCTCGCAGACAACGACGTCAGTGTGTTGCGGTACTTAGGTGAATATATATTTTTTTTATTACTGAAGGAAAGTTACATTGTCGCGCTATCCCCGCCTCTGACAATCGACAGACCGTGCGACAAAAACTCCATATACATGGCTCATTCACCCTCCATTGAGTATCTTATTTCTCCTTAAACGAGAAATATTCACGACTATTTGTCCTGTTTGCCCGCATTCAACGGCTTCCGGCAATATTTTTAAAATCGTCAGTCCATCTGTGGGGGGCCTACCCACTGAGCGTCATCTACCTTAGTAAGATCGTTGGTCCACCTACCCATTGAGCGTCGTCCATTACGTGGTCGCCATTCGAGAACTTTTCCGCCCCAATGATCTTCTAGCTATGTATCTCGCCCACTGCCACTGCAACTGAGCAATCGTTCGAACAATTTGCAATGTCAGTAACATTAGGTCTCATACGGATCTCCTCATTTCTAATTCATTCAAGTAGAGAAATACCAAGTTCTGTTCTCTTCATTGCCCGCTGGGTGACCTTCTTCTTAGCCTTCTTATGAAGCCTTCTTATGAGAACCATACTGACAACACACATTGGTCGAAAACTTTGGTCTTGAGGTACTGAGGTATTTTATTACTAACAAACATTTATTTATAGTACGAGTATATTATTAATTACTACAAGATGCGTAAAGATTATTATCGATAATTTTCACAAAAAAATTACCTCATTTTTGAACATTTTATATTTTCAAACATGTGCCCTTATGAATGTTGTAAGTATTTTTGTTAAGGAATATCATCTCAATGTTAAACATATCTCGTAAAACTCTTATCAATTCCAAAATTCAGGTTGAAGGTAAATATTTGCACGAAATTTCCTCATCAAAACTCTTGTCAAGCAAGACGACACACGCAATTACATTTTCATCCAAAATCTCATTTTCACCAAAAGAAAATAAGGAACGCTTAAACGAAACTTGAAAGGTTCTCTGGAGAGACGATGTTTTGAACCATTGGATAATACATTAAAAGAATAATACAAAAATCTTTGTTGAGGCAACTTGTTTTGGTGTGTTTCAATTGAACTGGATTTCACGAAAAATTGTAAAAAAATATTGAATTTACTTTATATCGTCTTATTGGTAAAAAAAAAAAAACATTAAAACTATATTAGTTACCACATAAATATGTATTATTATCTGTGTTAGTAATGGGAATCTCCTTTCTTATTTATTTATTTCAAACTTCAAAGTGAAATTCTTCGCTTACACATTTCATACCTATATAAGAGAATTTTTGAAAGAAATCTTGAAAAATCAAGCAATATTATTCTCAAATTTTTGTATTGAATATTTTGTTTCTCATTAGGGCGATAGGTAGTAATTTCATTGTTTTCTTTTTGAAAAATATCTTCATAATTTTACAATCTTGACTAAGTTATGATACATTTTTAAATTTTAGTCGATACCAATACGATTAATCAATAATAGTAGGATTAATTAATTCTGTTTCTTCATTTCAGAATGAATGATATAAATTTTGCCTGCGTACAAATATTTTAATGGGTACTTTTTGTTAATAGGGTCAAAGTACCAACAGTTGGACGACGGCTCGTTGTATATAAATGCCGTCAGTCCATCAGATCAGTATAACACATTTCGATGCCGTGTACGGGATCGAATTAGTGGACGGCTACACTCCAGCGAATATTATGGTAAATCATACAGAATTCATTTAAACTAATATTATAAAGAGGAAAATTTTGATTATTTGTTTACTATTGATTATTTATTTGGGCTCTGAAACTACTGGAACGATTTTAAAAATTCCATCACAAGCTATACATGGATGACATCGAGCTGGTATACATTAAGTGATGGATATTTATCGTATCCAAACAAGTATTCAATTGACTTATAATAATCTGTACTACAAATAAATACAAATAATCTGTACATACTAAATATTCAAAATTATTATTTTAAATTAAAAGTACATAGCTTTCTACTCTTATTTATTAGTAGGTCCGCAACTGGAATTGAGACGGCTTTTTAATATTCCTGCACGTGTAGCAAGACAAATTTGACAAACGTTTTGTATACACCAAACGTCACTGTTCTCGGGCCGAGAGTGAGATATCGTATACACACGAGAAAAGTGACATTTGCATAGTAGAATGTCAAAGAGTGGAATTCCCTGTCGGCGTCTATAGTAATAGGCTTCTTCTGGACAAGCTCGTTCCACCGTAGATCTCATTCATGCCCCCAGGCTGGATTGAGATCAAGAGTATGCCCATTAACAATAAAAAAGACAAAACGTTCTCATATTCATCATGCTACGCGTGCATCAGTCAACAGTGGGACTCATTAGGCGTCAGTGCCTTGTATTTAAATTATAGTGTCAAATTTTGTACTTGTTATATTAACTGAAACATTTTTAAAATTTTATATAGATATGTAATACTGTGCAGGTCACGTGATCGTGACGGAACCAAAGGGTGGCGTCAGACCGCGTGTTGCGGTCGAACCGCGATCTCGCCGTGTGCAAGCCGGACAAGACATCCGGCTGCCGTGTGCAGCTCACGCGTGGCCAGTGCCCAGCTACAGGTGAAGTGATCAATCAATCAATATTATTTATTAAGTCTAGGCTTATATATACATTTGTGAAAATCGAGACTGCCATCGGTTCATAAATCTGCGGGAGACCTTGTACCGAGAAGTACTGGCAAGAAAGTCAGCAAGGTCTACTTTTTTCTCCGTGTTTTATGTCGATTTTAAATTTGACTTCATTATTGATTATGACGGCACTTTCTATCACAGTATAAAAAAAATAAACTTATGATAATTTACAATATGCATAATAAAAGAAATGGACAAGAGCAAGTATATATTCTGAGTCTAGAGCAGATTCTATCCCTCTAATAATGTAATGTAGTAGATAAACCTACCTCATTAGGATGTTAATATATGTTACAACGTATCCAACTTTTTCACTTGGAGCCAGCTCGGTGCCATCTCATTTGGTAGCTAACTACGCTGCCAATTGTCAAACTGTGCTCTCCAAATCTCTCCTGAGTTCCGCTTTGTCACGGACTCCAAGATTAGCCAAAGCAGCGCTGCTAGCGTTGCTACTAGCTGCTAGCGTTGCTACGCAGAAGCACTATAATTTTCGGTACAATAAAGATTCTAAATAGTTTAAATACCTAACAACAATTTGTATTCTTATAATTAAACATTCTATAAAATTTGTGACTAGTTACAGTAACATTTAACAATGAAGATCTCCAACTACATCAAAATAGCAATAATTTTTATATGAAACTTCATTGCACACTCCTGCTTTTGATACAGTCCACAGGTCATAAATTTAACTAAACGCACCAAATTTCTCCAACTGAATTAACCTTACGATCTTGATAGTGGTGTTCAAAAACCATATCTAATATTATGTATTAAACCGACTACCATTATCACATACCAAAACAGAATGCTTACTTAATTTAAATACGTGGCACGAGTAGTACTATATAAAACAGATTGTTTTTAATTTGAAATTTATTTATATTACTTTTTAAACAAAAGAATAATTGTAATAGATCTAGGAGTTACTGAAAAAATCTCCTGAAGCAGACAGATAGAGAGACAATAAAATGATCCTATTGTTGTGTAGAGTCTTAATCACTATGAAATATAATAGAACCATAAAGAATGCAACGCGTGACTAGTATAAAAATTTAAAGACAATATCAGCAACCCGCGATATGGCTTAAGGATACAAGATTTATTCATGATTCTGTCTCATAAATACAATGCATAATACGATCCACAAGACTCTGACACTCGCAAAACATTTCCAAGGTTTCATTATCTTGAAGATTTTTGGTCACATGCTGGAGTTCTAAAAAGCGTAAGCACTTCTAATGCGCAGCTATTCTGAGATGATCTTAGGAATTCTATTTTTGAATCTTGTGTTTTCCATCGTATTTATAATATACGAACCACCTTCGAATTTCAAAGCACATCACACTTTTTCTGCATTTTGAATCCTATCTCCGGTACCTATCGCCAGTTGTATTTAGAAAATATATAAAACAATAGATTAGATTGAGAAAATATATAAAACTAAATAGGTATGTTAATAAACCAAAAAAACTATTAAATAAACAAAAATTTATTAACAAAAATTCTAAATTCTTAAAGGAACGCATACAATTGATAGAAAAATAAGAACTTGCCGTTCTATAATCGATGAAAATAGGACAACCTATGAAGAGAATATTGACATGTTAAATAGTAAAATAAATAACCTCCAAAATTCATTGGCAAAAATGACTAAAAATTATGATCACTCCAAAAAAGAGATAGGGGAGTACATACTAGCCTTGATATGCTTATCAAATACCTCTATATTAGAGGGTACACAATTGGATTCTTTCTACTTGGTATCAGGCCTGGATTCCAGGGAGAAGCAACATAAACAATCGGTATGTGAACCCATATACTCTAATTCTGTTAATTATACACAAAGCACAAGTGACAATAACTCTTTTAACAATAAAAAATGTATAAAAACTGTTATATTATGTGATGAAATTGGAAAGGACTTGGGCCACTAATTACATAACCAGTTGGGAGATAACATTATTAATTATTGTATGCCCGGTATTGAATTGTGTCAACTAATGAAAAAAGTGTTAGCTTTAAATATTGACGAGGGTACAAACTTAGTAATTTTAATGGGAAACAGAGGTAATGTAAATAAAAGAGAATTATGTAACTACTTCAATACCTTAAGCTCCTTGAATTTAAATAAAATTATTATGTTGACATTACCTTATAGTAACAGTTTGCCACAGGAAGAAAATAATATTAGATATAAGTTAAATATGACATTAAATACTATAGCTAATTAAAATAAAAAATACATGTAATTGACATAAACAAATTAATTTTTATTTTATATTTGACAAGAGATATTTTTTTTTCTATTTTAAGAGACAAATAGCATCCTCGCTAGTATTTTAAAACAAATGAAGCGGTT